GTGGGTTGGCATGCTCTTCAATCCTCTGACAGAGACAGAAACACACACAGCAAGGGAGACACAAGCAAACAGACAGACAAAAGGATCAGATTTGATAGAGAACTTTCCTGAGCAAGTCTGGAGCTGCTGCTGTTCATCTAGGATGTAGAGGCAAAGACAGAAGGCCAGAGAGAGGCTGAGAGACTGGGGGAGGAAGAGAGGAAGAGAGGAAGAGAGGCAGAGGCAGAGAGGCAGAGGCAGAGGCAGAGGCAGATATTAGTTCAGGCCAGCCTAGGCCACATAATGAGTTCCAGGGCAGCCAGGGCTATATAATGAGACCCAGTCTCCATTATATTAGTTCAGGCCAGCCTAGGCCACATAATGAGTTCCAGGGCAGCCAGGGCTATATAATGAGACCCAGTCTCCAAAAACTCAAATAAATAAGTAAATAAATAAATAATCATAAAATTCTCTTGTAAAATCTATAGTCTTTCAAGGATGACCTTTGCTAAGATTTCTAGCATTGTGGAAAGAGTGCGTGAACTGGCCTTCTCGTGTAATCAGATAAATTACTGCCCTAATTGTCATCATAGATCCTTCATCCAGTAACTGATGGAGCCAGATACAGAGATCTACAGTCAAGAATCAGACTGAGCTCCAGGAATCCAGGTGGAGAGAGGCAGGAACTATATGAGCAAGGGAGGCCAAGATCATGATGGAGAAAGCTTCAGAGACAGCTGAGCCAAGCTCGTGGAAACTCATGAACTCTAGACCGACAGTGGTAGAAAGTCCAGGGGACCCAAATAAGACCTTCATATGTGGGAGACAGATGTGAAGCTTGGACTATCAGAGGAGCCCTGGTAATAGCACCACGATACAAACCTGGTACATGAGCTAGTTAGTTGGAGCCCATTCCCTATGGTGGGATGCCATGCTCAGTCTTAAAGCATGGGAGAGTGGCTTGTCCTTCCCCAACTTATTGTGTCAGATTTTGTTGACTCCTCATGACAGCCCTTACCCATGAGGAGGAGTGCACTGGGGGTGGACTCGGGGGAGGTGAGAAGGGTCAGGAGGAAGGGTTGGATGAGGGGTGGGAGGGAGAACTGTGGTTGAAATGTAAAATGAAATTTAAAAGAATAAATAAATAATAAAAAAGAAAAAATTAACCTATATAGCATGGGACCGAACTAGGCTCTCTGAATGTGGGTGATAGTTGTGTGGCTTGATCTGTTACAGGAGCCCATGGCAGTGGGACCAGAACCTATCCTGGGTGCAAGAACCAGCTTTTTGGAGCACATTCCCTATGGTGGAATACTGTTTTCAGCCTTGATACATGGAGGAGGGGTTTAGTCCTGCCTCAACCTGGTATGCCAGACTTTGTTGACTCTCAAAGTAAGGCCTTACTCTCTCTGAGAGGTGGATGGAGTGGGAAGGGAAGAGGTGGGTGGTGGGAGAAGGGGAGGGAGGGGAAACTGGGATTAGTATGTAAAATGAAAAAAATAATTAAAAATAAAATTAGAGAACAGGGAGTATATGAATGTATTTATGGTTTTAAATTCTTACTTTTGTGAAGCAGCCAATATTAACTCTAACTAGAATATGAAAAATACTATGATGTATATTTTAATCTCTAGAGCAAACATTAAGAAAATTGCAAAATTGTAAAAATTGCATAGTTTATGTCAACTTGGCACAAACTAAAGTCATCTAAGAGGGGGGGACCTCAAGTAAGAAAATGCCTCCATAAGATTGGCCAGCCCATTGCAGGTGATGCCATCTCTGGACTGGTTACCCTGGGTTCTATAAGAAACCAGGCTGAGTAAGCTGTGGAAGCAAGTCAGTAAACAGCATGGCCTCCATGGTCTCTGCATCAGCTCTTGATTCCAGGTTCCTGCCCTGTTTGAGTTTCTGTCGTGACTTCCTTCAATGATGGACTACAAAATGGAAGTGTAAGCCAAATAAACCCCTTCCTCTCCAACTTGCTTTTGGACGTGGTGTTTAATCACAGCAGTAGAAACCCTAACTAAGACTATGTTATAGAAAGGACAAATGGTGTTGTAAGAAATGTAACATAGTTCAGTTCCTATGGAAATCGGTATGGAAGTTCCATCAGAAACCAAAAAAGTCCAGCCATATTATGTATCCATCCCATCCCTGAGTATATACCCAAAAAGAATCCAAGTCACATGTAAGACAGAGACCTGTACTCCCTTGTTTATTCTCATAATATTCATAATAGCAAATAGATTGAATCAGCTGAGGTGACCACTGACATATAAATGGATTAAAATTGTAGTTATATATGCCCAATAAAATATTATTCAGCCATGAAGATGAATGAAATATGCCACAGGGAAATGAGTGTAACTGGAGATCATCATGTTAAGTGAAATAAGTCAGAAATCAGAGATACAAAAAATGCATGTTTTCATTTTGCAGAATCTATTAACTTTGAAAAGGCATAAAGGAGACTAAAGGAATGAGTGACCGCCAGAAGGAGAGCTAGTGTAACAAGAGAGGAAGGTGGGGCGGCATGATCAGAACCCACAGCATGAAAAGCTCATAACGGAAACCAGTTATTTGCTAAAACTATTCTGTGCTGATTTAAGATAATATAAAGAGCAAATACTTACAGAAATTAAAATTAAGTATAATAAATATTTTAAATTAAAATAAAAGATCACAAAAAGGAAGAATAGAAGAATAAGAGACAAATGTATAGAAAAGAACATAAAAGTATAATTTTAAGTTTAATCATGTCAATAATTATATTAAACATTAAAGGATTATACATGTCCTATAATGCAGAAATCTTCAGGGTTGATAAAAATGTCAAACATGAACTATATGCTATCTACAAGTATTGTACGTTAGATATAAAGAAAATAGTGAGCACACACATGCACACGCTCACGTATACTAAAACAATTGTGAGGAAGGTGAGACTGGCAGGCATAGTGCCACACACATACAATTGCAGTACATAGGAAGGAGAGAACGCTGTCTCACTTGATGCAGCCCAGCCAGGGCCATAGAGCTAATCCAAACCCAGTCCTGACTACATAGAGAAACACTGTCTGAAAGAAACACATCAGAGATAGGAATTTTATAATGATAAATAAGTTATGATTAAGGATGGTATCAGGAAAACCCAACAACATAAATTTATATGAAATAAATATGTCAAAATGTAAAAGAATTAAAGGAATGGTTTTACAAAATTAGAGATTTTAATAGTCCTCTCAACTAGAAAATAAGAAAAAGGTTAGTAAACATATAAATGATCAGAACATTATCAACCACATTGACTGTATTAATATTTATGCTACAGTATACCTAAGAACTATAAAATGCACACTTTTTTCATGGACACAAAATCTGAGACAAGTTCAAACACATTTAAATGTGTTAAAAAACATTCAAGTTAAATCAGGTATGGCAACCCCATGGCTATTAGCTCAGCACTTAGGAGGTAGATACACAGGGATCAGAAGTTCAAGGTCATCCTCAGCTACTTTTTGCTTTGAGTTGGAAGTGATCTTGGGATAGATATATAAGACCCTATCTCACAAAACTAAATGAAATCATATCAAGTGTATTCTGTGGCCAAAATGAAATAAATCATAAATAATAATATCTTTGATATCTCCAAATAGTTGGGATTTAAATGCACATCTAAGCAATTTATGCATTGAAGAAGAAAGTGAAGATATTTGCAGTGACAAATAATGAAAACACATGTTAAAGATTTGAGTTTTAGAAATAATAGACATCAAAATAAGGCTAATAAAGGCTAGGGAAAACGTCTTTGCTGATAAGGTGCTTGTTGTACAGGCACGAGGACCTGAGTTTGCATCCCCAGGATCCAGGTAAAAAGCTGAACCATCCATTACCCCAGTACTGCAGAGCAAAACAAGAAAACTCTGAGGTTTCAACGACTAGTCATTAGCCAAAGCAGTAAGGTCCAGGTTCAGTGAGAGACTCTGTCTCATAAATAAATAAATAAATAAATAAATAAATAAATAAATAAAAAATTAAAAACCAGTTTTTAAATAAAACAAAGGGAAAAAAGCGTAAGAGAATGTCTTCATAAGGGACCCGTTTCCCAGGCAAATCATGATTACTAGTAAGGTAAAAGGACTGCAAATTAGATTTCAAAAATTCTAAACATGTGCCTATGAAAAGGCACCACTGAGAAAATGATAGCAAAGATGCAAAGAAGAACTACGAGCCAATTAAAATACAAACAAAAGACTTTGACAGCTAAGTCAACAAAGAAGTTATGCGAGCAATCAAGATGAAAATGAAAGCTTCCTGCCCATCATTAGCCACAGGAGAAAAGAGCACGGGAATTTCTTACAAATACAAGTATATGCCCTAAGAGCCAGCTATTCAATTTCTAAGTGTTTGTCCAAGACACATGAAAACATGTCCACACAAAGACTGTTATGCAAACATTCATAGGAGCATTATTTGTATTATTTGCAAACTGGAAACAACCAAACATACAGCAACAGTAGAATAAATTGTAAAAGTACACAATGTGTTTATTCAATAAAATATTATTCCTCAGCCATAAATTCAGCAATAAATCAAAATTATTAATTTGGAATGATTAATATGGAAGACAAAAGAAGACTTCTACCAGAGAATCACATATATACCACACGATTTTCTTTGGAGGTATAAAGTTCTAGAGCAGAAACAAATTGGGGCAGGAAAATGTTGGGATGTTGGTGGCCCCTGGAGGAAAGTGAGGCTCTTTCAGAAGCAATGACAATATTCTATATCTCGATAGGGTTTAGGGTTATGTGGACACACACCTTAGCTAAACTCAGAGATCACGCACTTAGGATTTGTATGTTCTCCCATATGTAAATCTATCATTTGTTTTTAAGGTGTAAAAATAAAATCCAGTCCCTCAAACTGCTCTGAAGTAGCATATGACCTACCAGAGACTGAAGTGCTGCTAGATGGTGGAAAGGGCTGAGAGTTTCATAATTGATACATAATGGTTGCATTTATCTATTGGGTACAGCATGATTAATCAGGGTAATTAGCATCCACATCACATCAAACATTTGTTATTTGCTTCTGTTACCTAACCTGGGACCAGACTTTAAACCCAGCCAAACATAAGTCTGAGTTTCAGTTTAGCTGTTAGGCTATGTAACCATGGACACATTCCTTGAGTTTTCTATTACCTTATGTATTCCAATAATATTCAGTAGTGTAACAACCAACATGCAATAAATTCCTCCTACATGATAGCCAACAGTCAACTAATATTTAGGATTATTTCAGGTGACAGAGACAATTATGACATCATTGCACACCACACAGACACCAGATCCCTGGGATCTCTATATTTTCTAATATTCCCATTCAGGTTAATAGCTTCCAAGGGTGAACTTTTGCTTTCCTAAGAACTTCAAAGGTGAAGATATGGAACATTTGGTTGCCTGGCTCTCAGTTTCCTGAGTTGCACTCACCTGGGGAATTGTGACTTCTTCAGAGATGCTGAAGGCCATACCTTGAAACCTGTGGTCCACCCACCACACTGCCAAAGCCAGCCTGGCCACAGTGAGATTTGCCATTGTCCCCACAAACTCCATCTTGTGACCAGCACGCTCAATTATCCTCAGAATCCTGAAAAGAAGAAGTAGAGGCAATCAGCACTCTTTCTGCCTTGATAAAACTAGAACTCCCAAGATGTCTCAATGCAAGGCTTGACTTTGTCATTGTCATCTTGATGTTGTTTAATAAGAACCTTGGCTTGGGAGCCCAGCAGCCTCTAATTTCTGTAGGGGTGAACAAAATGATCTCCTAGAGCTTTGGTCCCCTTGAAAGCCAAGTCAGAAGTAGTACCAGCATGCATCTTGAAGGATCATTTCAAAAATCAAATGAAATTACCTTTTATAAAGTCAGATCTGTCATGGCCTCATTTGTCTTAGAAGTTTGGATTTTATTTAACCCATAAAGGAATGACACCAAGTGGTTTGAAAAGCAAGGTGTGATCCGATGTATACACTGAAACGTAACAGTGACTGCTGTGTAGAAAATGGGTCACAGAGGGGCAACAATGGAAGCAAAGGGCTGGAATAGGAGGCTCAAGCAGATGGCCGGGGGAGCGAAAAGAGAGTAGGGAGAAATGGATGAATTCATTGATTCTACTAGAATATTTTAAGAGGTTAAAGGATGTATGGATAGTGCTTCATTAAGAGGTGTTGTCTTCTTAAGTTTGTTATGAATAAACCCCTGTGTCCAATTAATGCTACCTATAAAATGGGGAGAGGGCACTAAGAGGAGTTAGAAGGAGTAGTGAAATACATGTGTGTGTTTGTGTGTGTGTGTGTGTGTGTGTGTGTGTGAGAGAGAGAGAGAGAGAGAGAGAGAGAGAGAGAGAGCAAACTACATTGAGGAAGTATAGAAAGTTTTCAAAGAATAAATAAAAATATAATAAAATAAATAAATAAATCTAAGAATTAGACATTCACAAGTCAACTCTGAGGTAGAAAGTGTCAAGCGGAACAATTCCTAAGTTTTTCAGGGTTCCATGGGTTAGATAAGTTTTATAAAAATGTGCAACCATTGGAGGGATTTCAGGCTGGGTTTTGGCTAAGAATTTATTTGAAGAATCATAACTACTGAGATCTCATTCGTATGCAAATGGTGCTATCCACTGCACTGGACCTTGTCAATGCTTAACTTCCAGTTTGCTGTAGAAATAATACTATAACATCTAAGTTTCATGAAACCATGTCTCTGAGCTAAGCGCTTTGACTTACTTATTGCTTACTGGAGGCAGATTGGAAGCTGAATCACTTTGTTTTTCCATTACTGTGCTGATGATTTGGAGGATACTCTGGGTTAGGTTGGTACTTATGTCATCACAGTTGGAAATATCATCTACTTTAGAAATAATAATCTTTGTCTCTTCTTCATCCAGAGGTGGAGACTCATTCACCAGATTTAAAATGTGCTCTGCAATGTCATCGGCATTCTCTGGAGGAAACAAAGTAGAAATGGGTGACCTTCATTTCTACCCTTAGTGTGGGGCTATGCTGGATGGCCTCCTCCCCTTTAAATAGAAAAGACAATGAAGTAGAAACACACACCAAGTGAACAAAGTTTACCATGGGAAATTATTGATGCCCAAGTTCTCCAATAGATATAGTTCTGGGAAGAAGAACAAAAGTCAATTTCTGAATTCATTAAGTCTGATTTCAAATGCACTAGGGGAATCTTTTTGTCACTGAAGAATTATCTTGAAACTTGATGCTAATTAAGACTTTTGAGTGTTGGCTCGAGTTAAGATCCCACCTATACTCAAATATCAGCAAACATTGAGTCTAAGTTTTCACAATCAAGGGTAGTGATTAGTATTTCCTGTCAAGAAGTGGCAACCCACAGGTAGAAAGCAAATACGGACCACATAATAAGAAGCAATTAATTTAGATTTTCTAAGGAGGAAGAACAATAGCTATTAGCTCGCCCACTTTTTCTTCACTTTTTATTATGGAAATTTCCAAGCATATTCAGAAAGCAAAAGAATAATCTAATGAATCTCCATGCGCTTCATGAATCACCCGGCTTGAACACATGTCAGTGGAAGGCTAATCTTAATTTATGTCCTTTCTCACCCACCTGTGCCCCATCCACATACCCATAGCTTCATCCACGAACACTTCAATACATGTCTTTAAAATTAAACAACTTTTATCTTAACCAGTATCCTAACTAAATTAGATTAAGATGAAAATTTCCAATAATATTTACAGCACCAAATGTTCACAATCAGTGTTCAAACATCCTTAGTTGTCACATAAATGCTTGTTCAAACCATTATTTTATTTGAATCTACCCCCCTTTTAAAGTGAAGAGAGCTATTAAACAAATACAAAGCAAATTAGATTTTACTTCCCTATAGCACATATAAAGCTGATCTTCCTGGCCCTGTCTTCCTAACTTAAAACCCAGTAACCAAAATATGAAGGGGGAAATTGAGAAAGAATTGTTCTGTTGAGAAAGATTCCAGAGAGAGGGAGAGAACACTCATGGCACATTTAACTTAGCTCATATTATGAATAACCAGCTGTGTTTGGGAAAAAGAAAACAATTGGAGTGCAAAATTCACTCCTTCTCCTCCTCCTCCTCTTCCCAGGCACCCAAATCTCCCCTCTACCTCAAGCTCCACACAACTGTATTCCCCATGCAGACTTTTTCTCTTTTTTCCTCCTCATCTTTCCCCAGTTTTCTTCCTTTTTTCTTTTTATTTCTACAAGCAACTCTGAGCTCATCAATGGAAGTTCAGCAATTGTAACCAAGATCTTCTTAAGCCCTTCTCCCTTACCCCCAACTTGCCCATGCCTTATGTAGAAACAAGTTCACAAGCAATGGTAAGCAAGTTAGACAGACATCAATCTCATTATAGGGGAAGGGCATCTACCTGGGTTACCATTCCTAGAGCCTTCATCCAGTAGCTATTCCAAGCAGAAACAGGCACCTAAGCTAAGCACTGACCCATACTCCTGGAATCCAGTTGTGGAGAGGGAGGAGGGATGAACAAAGGAGCCAAGACAGTGCTAGAGAAACCCACAGAAACAGTTGACCTGACCTGCTGAGAGCATGGAGACCCTAGTCATAAAGCTGGGGAAACAACATTGGACCAAACCAGGCCCTCTGAATGCGTGTGCCAGCTAGGAGGCCAAGACAGTCTATGCGACCTCTTACAGTGGAGCCAGTCTTTATCCCTAGAGCACAAATGAACTTTGGGAGCCCATTTCCTATGGAGGGATACTATTGCAGCCCAGATACAACAAGGAAGGCCTAGACCCTCCCCCAAACGATATGTCAGACTTTGAAGGTTCCCCTATGGAGGGCCTCACTATCCCTGGGGAGGATGTGGGGGGGGGGTTGGGAGGGTTGGTGGGGAACATAGGAGGATGAGAGAGTGAGGGAATGGAAGGATGGATATGGAAATATGAGTAGTAATTAAGGAATTTAAATGAAGAAAAAAAGTTCAAGACCAACCTGGGGAACAAAATACAAAGGGAAACTCTTAAAAATAAAGTAAGGATAAAAATTCAAAGTGAAAAAAAAGTTCACAAGCAATTTCAGTGTTTTCTCTGAGGAGATACAAAGGAAGGAAACTGTTTCTAAATTAATATTTCTTTCATGTTAATATTTCTCTTTTTGTCCATTT